CCATACATTGCTAAGTGCCATAGTCGTTTACATTTGTAATCATTTTCTTGATTTGTATTTGGTTATAAATCTTTATATGGTTTAATAACTGATGACAAGTTTTACTTCCATTTAAGGGGGAAATTATATCTTAAGAATTATGACTGATAATGAATAAATCATTGCATGTTGGCCTGCTGTGTGTATGTGTTTGTGTGTCTTGGGGTGTGTGCATATAATGCTGTAAAACAAATTATTAAAGAATTAAGGTGCACTCTAGGTTTTAAAGGGGTTTATTTTAGGAGTGTTTGTTGTGTGTGAGCTTGTACTGTGCGAGAGTCCATTCAATTGCTCCACTTTTTTTCTTTCTTGCCAGAAAAAGCCATTAAAACTATAAAAAGAGCTGTGTTGGGTCAAGCCAAAGGTTCATGTAGTCCAGTCTCGTGTTTCTTACAGAAATTACTCAGATGCCCCTGGGAACCCCTCAAGCAGATTACAATGGAAATAGCCCACTGCAATTGTTATTTCCTCAATATAGTCTTGAAACGAAGATATCTACAGAACCATGAAGACTAATTGCCATTGATTGGTTTATACCCCATGAATTTGTCTAGTCCTCTAGTTTCTTTCCTAGTTAGTCACTGCTGGCACACATGTAACCGTTAACGTTTGTATTTCCCAACATGCATCACAGTACAATTAGTTAAACTGAACCACATTTGCCCATTTACCAGATTTATAGAGCTCTTCACAATCTGCTTAGGTAATTTGGTGTCATCCACAAACTTGGCTGTCTCACTGCTCCAGGTAATTTATGGACAACTTAAAAAGCAGGATTCCCTATACAGTTCCAGTTCTGCTATCTCTCCATTGAGTGACTATTTTCCTCATTTCTGCTTCCTATTCTTTAATGAGGTATGATTTATGAGAAGTCTTGTCCTCTTATTCCTTGAGTGCGACTTCCACAGCAAGAGATTATACTGAAGGACTTTGTCCAAAGTTTGTGAAAGTCCAAGTACATAGGGGCTACCAGATCACCTTTACCTACATGCTTGTGGACACTTTCAGAAAACTCTTGTTTTGTGAGCACATCGTTCTCCTTTTCAGCAGATCAAGGTGAAAAGGCTTATAACTATAGCCTTCTGTTGAGTTAGGCTCGCCAATCAGGACTAGCTTTGCCATTGTTGTTATTGTTAGTCGCGAAGTCGTGTCCGACCCATCACGACCCCATGGACAACATTCCTCCAGGCCTTCCTGTCCTCCACTTAAGCTTACGCCGACTGCTTCAGTGACTCCATCTAGCTACCTTATTCTCTGCTGTCCCCTTCTTTTGCCATCAAAGTTTGTCTGTAATCCCTAGAAGTTCATCTCACATATACTGCTTAAATTTGTTTCCATCTTTCAGATTGTTTCTCTGAAAAAGTCATTTCAAGCATAAGTATTTCTATAATAAAGGGAAATGTAGAATCCATTCAGCTTCTTTGCAGTTTCCTAATTCCCCTTTATCTGTGATGGCTCAACTTCCTTTCTCACCTCTTTCCTCCTTCTGATGTATTGTTGTTAGTGCATCATTTGGGGCTTTGCACTCTTCACATTCTTTTAAATTTTAGCTTTAACAACTCACGTTTGTTTTTCAATGACTGCAGCCTCAGGGTATTCTTGGAGACTATTGACTCCAGTATCCACCCTCAGTTTCAAATTGAACTTCAACAGAGCTCTCCATGGTGCTAAACCCTATCCCCAAAATAGCTTCACAACAATGGATAGTTCCTTAAAAGTTCAGATTACACCCCAAAGTCGAGTCATTGATGCCCTTTTTGGGATGTTTGTCTTGAAAATTGAATGTGCCACTTTCATAATATTAGGATTTTCTTGGTTGTAATTTTGTGTGATTGCAAATGGTTTTAGTTATTTTGCAATGAGTTTGCACCTCCTGGAACTAAATATGGATCCAAATACAAACTGCAATTAAAGTTCATGTTTTCCTGAGCTGCTGTGATTCAGAGAAATGAAGCAATTACTTTTGAAAAGCAAACACAAGCATGCTTTAATCGATGGGAGAAAAATACATAGATTTCAACAATATAGAAAATTATTGTGTATTCGGAAAAATGCATGGGAAATATGTACAGATGTTCAGGTGAAAGGAAAACTAAACTCATGGGTCAGAACAAGTTTCAATATGGAATATGGAAAACTTTGATGAGCTTAGTCTGCTGATTTGCACAGCCCTACTCAGCTGTAGGACATCTCCTTTGCATGCAGAAGGTCCCTGGTTCATTTCCTGGCAAATCCAGTTGAACAGATCTAGTTGATGATGTTTCCAAAGACTGACTCTGGAGAGCCACTGTTAGTCACAGTAGACAAAACTGGTCCATTAGTGTTGATTATAGCAGCCACTAACAGGAGCAATCTGGACAGTTTACAATGGTAGATAAGATACCATTAAAATACAATATAAAATGCAAACTAATAACAAAAACATCATGAAAAATGCAATACAAAATTTAAAAGCCAAATTTAAAACCAAATTTTAAAAGCTACAATTGCTTATTTGTCTGATGGATATATACCTGGTGCAAGACAACTTCCTCTGTTCCTTTTTTCCCGTCTTAGGTCTTATCCTCAGCCATAAAATAAAATTGATGCATGTTACTGTGAGCATAGGCAACATAACTCTTGTACTGGGATACTGGCCTACTGATAAAACTTGAAGCAGTACATACCAATGCCAACAAAATAAAAACAGAATAGCCACTGTTTTCTGGTAATTAGAACTGGAGAGATATGGAGGACCAAGTCTCAAAAACTAAAAATCTAGTTGAATTGCTGCATTGTTTCCATGCAAAACCAGTCCTTATCACTTTAACTGCAGAATGTCTTATGCATCACTATTGATTTTTACAGATCCTATTTGGGACATTTATTCACCCATCTATCTATATGATTTTTACTTCTGGCATGGAAAATTGCAGCTATTCACAATACCCTTATTGTCTCTGAGTTGTGTCTTAGAAGTGGTCACACAAATAAATCATTGTCACAAAAACGTATGTTTTCAGCTTTATAAAAACAGTTTATTATCAGCAATGCAGATTTTTTCAGTCAGTTGTAACCTAGTTCCACCAATCTGTCTTGGTCCAAAAAAATACACCATTTTAACCGCTTAGGATCTTCTATCACAAAAGCAAGAAAAAGGTTTCCCTTCATTCCAAGGACACCTTTTATCATTTCTGTTAGTGTTGGCAGGCTTATCAAAAGAAGAATTGTCTGCCACTCCCTGGGTAATGGGAGCTTAATACAATAAGATGAGGAAAAGTACAGAAAGTTCTCAAAGTGGAATTGCTGAGTGTTTGTGCAGTAGGATGGCAGAAATCATTTTGTCTGAAAGGATCCAATTTCAGGAAGCAGCATGACCATCTTAAAAGTACCATTGTATAAACATTTTATGACACGGCTTGCTTTCAACTCTGTGCTTCTTTTTTTTCTGTTTGTCAAGACTCATGCAGGAAAACTTGTAGTCATCTCAGCAGCATTGGAATTTTTTCCACTCATATCTGGTATAATTCCTACTGCAAAAATACAGACATTCAAGGCTGGCCCTTGCATTTGCCCTTTGCAAGTATCTGTAAACTCACAAACAACAATATGCTACTTTAAAAATGTTTTGGTTGTTGGAGAAGTCACTGTGATATTTCTTGGTGAGGGATATATATGAAAACAACCTGTATTTTCCCTAGTGGCCATTGATATAACATTGAAAATATCTATGTATAGCATGGGGTCAACAAAAGTTGACCTGTCTATTGCCAAGGAGTGAGCTATTGTCTTGCTATTCTGCAGTGTCTCTAAATCATAACAGAAGGTCAGGCTCTCCTCTCTAACTCTAAGCTTGAAGTTGGAGGTAGACAGCGGGGGGAAAATCTCTACATCCCCATAAGTTCACAGCTAGAAAGAGTTTACGGCTTGGTCTTTTCCTCTGTGCTAAATAAACCCACCAGTCCTGAAGGCATGCAGCATCCACTGGGTACGGAGCAAGGCTGCACTTCTCACCCTTCCTCCCCAGTTCAGAACTGGAAGAAAGAGTGCACAACTGGTGCCAGTGCCACCTGCTGGGTGCAAAGTCATATTCATGTCTCAGGGTATCCTGTATCCAAGTTGGAAGAGTTAGAGGCCTGTCAGCTTGTTTTGCATCTGTACCCAATAGGCTCTCCAAGCTAGGAGTCTGTTGGACAACCCAAGTGCCTGTATCTCTCATCTCCTGCTTGGATCTGAATAAAAGTGGCGAATTTCAGGACTTTGGAGCTTTCCTCTAGTCTTTGGGTCCTGAGGAAGCTTGAGGAAAAGCTAAATCCTGGTGAGCTCATATTACTCATCAGAGCCTGGCTCATCTCTCTTAATAGCAAGGTTGCTAAGAAGGAAAATCTCAGGAAATATCTAGTTACAGCAGGACTGCAGGGGTCACAAACCTGTGGCCTCCTACTGCTTTGGTCTACTTCTCCCACCATCCCTTACCATGGGCTGTGCTGGTTGGGCCTGCTAGGAGTTGTAGAACAAACAGTCTGAGGGACCACAAGTTACCCATTTTATATGCTGGATTAATAAAATAGAGGAAACAATTGGATCATATACAAGGTAATAAATAAAAATTGTTGCTGTTAAATTTTCAGTAAGATATGGGCATGACATGAGGACTATCAGTTTATATAGCTGCTCTTACTTTTAAGACAAAGCAGAGTACAAGCTGAAATAAATATGCATATGGTAGGCATGTCATGAGTGGAGTCAGCTGGAGCCGGGGGTCAGACTGAATGGCCTAGGAGACCCCTTCTGACTTGTTCTGTTTCTAAGTTTCTGTGTTTCTAAATATTCTCGGTTTTTACCAAAATATTAAAAAACTTACATGTCTGCAATAAATGAATGTTTTTAATCAGCTGCATGTTCTATAAAATTACATTATACTTTCCTTTAGGAAGAAAAACACTCTCTTAACCAAATATATTGTATCCCTTTCTTTTTAGAACCAAAGAAAATGGCTTTGACAGAGAGCCTTTGCACTCAGAGCATCCAAGCAAGCGGCCGTGCACTATTAGCCCAGGCCAGCGGTACAGTCCAAATAATGGCTTGTCTTACCAGCCCAATGGTCTGCCTCACCCCACTCCGCCTCCACCTCAACATTACCGTTTGGATGATATGGCCATTGCCCACCACTACAGGGACTCATATAGACACCCCAACCACAGGGACCTCAGGGACAGAAACAGACCTATGGGTAAGCAAACTCTTACAAGCGCTTAATCTTGGTTTTGCTTTATAGAAATGCTGAGTTATTCCTTTACTAGAGGAACGTCCTGGAATTAATAGAATCCCTGCTTTGATCCCAGTACATATCAAAAAGCTTAGAAGAAGGGAGAATCCTATCTATACGTTTCTTATCTCTGTATAACACACCTAATTTAGAAATGGATTGTGCTCAAGTTTTGACATGTTCTAGGTTTCCTTCTTGTTTCTAGGGTGAACAGAAATGCTAAATGTTTCCAATTGTGGAATCCTTTTAAGAAAACCATAGAGAAATGGTTTTAACAAAACCATAGAAATGTTTATTTTACACCCGTGTTTTAGCAAGTGGAGTTCCTATGAATAGGATCAAACATCAGTGTACCTTTTTACATGACCTATTGAAATAAAAAGTTGAATAAAAGTTTAACTATATGTTTTAGCATTTTCTGTGTAATTCAACAGAAATTTGCTATGGAGGCTTTCTTAGGAGATTGTGCACTCACCAACATGATGAACTATTGAAAAATTAGGTGTCACATCTATTTGTTCCCAAGCAGTGCCTTTGTTTTGGTTACAGATTATGGGGCATCTTGTGTTTCTTTTCATGGACTCCTTACTTCTCTGGAACTGGAGATTTCCAAAACATTTTATTTCAGACCTCATGGTCTTTCTCCTTCTCTTATTTTTTATTTGCTTGATTCCTGGTGCATCCTGTTAATGTACTGGATAAATGTTGACTTGCATAACCAGGTAATGCTGTGAATGCTTATAATTTATGGACGTATACAAAAGATTAAGTTGTTGCTAGATGACCTTGCATGCTATTAATATTTCATTTTATTTTGCTCTCTTTTGGCAGGGTTGCATGGCACACGTCAAGAAGAAATGATTGATCATAGGCTAACAGACAGAGAATGGGCAGAAGAATGGAAACACCTTGACCATGTAAGGAAATTAACCTACATATTTGGATCTAAATATAAGTTTCTTAGGTATATATGGGCAGCCAAAGACGGCAATGTTAGAATCTGGGTTTGTCACATGGTGAATTGATATGGCTAAAGACTGTAAGCAAGACAGTGCCAGTTAAAACTTCTTTGCAGTTTTGAACTTCCTGAATTGACTTAGACAAACTGCTATCACTCAGCCTTAGACTTCCCATTTCTGTCATGCATGTAAAAACATTAACTAGAAAATTGCCTATCCAGTGAAGGCCTGTGTGAACACTAAGATCATCAAAGGAGATCTTGCTGGTTGTACTGCAACCTGCAGATTGCCATCTGGCAGCAGTTAAGAAATAGACCTTCTTTTGCCTTATGGAATGTCTCCCCTGTGGTATTCAGGAAGTACCAACTGTGATGTATTTTAAGCACCTTTTCGAAGACTTGTATAGGTGCCCATTACATACAGTACGTCTTCCCTGAATTATTGTGTTGCCCAGTTAGTTTATGAATTATTCTTTTTTAGCTTTGGTTTTTTAAAAAATAAACATATTATTTAATGAGTTCTTATAGTAGGTTTGTTAATTTAAGTAAGATGGATGGATGATAGACATGCCCCCGCTTCACATAGTTATTGAGATATCTTGAATTGCAGTGTGTAAATTCTGATGGTGGTAGTAGTGGTTGTTTCACATTTTATAAGCAATATAAAAATGTAGGATTTATGACCTGCCTTGAAATTGTACAATGAATGCCAGTTTTGCGAGAAGTCATTGCCTTCAATAGTCATAATTTATTTGAACTAAATAAAGATAAAAAGTTTCAATAAAGAGAAATCATAATCATAAACTAGTGAGACCCAGTATGGTATACTGGTTAGTATGTAGTCCCAAGTTCAAATCTCCACTCAGTCATGAAATAATCATTGTGGGCTGGCTGTGATCGTTCAGCCATGGCAGCATCACAGGTCTGTCCTGAGGGTAAAGTGTGCAGTGCTGGCAAGAGGGGATGGGATAAAGAACTAATTGTGGTGCCCTGAGCTTGTTGGAAGATAGGCAGAGGATAAATCTAATAAAACAATATCATATTATCATACACTTCCACTTATAATCTCTAGCTCTTAAACTGCATCATGGACATGGTGGAAAAAACAAGGCGATCTCTCACTGTGCTACGGCGATGTCAAGAAGCTGACCGGGAGGAACTTAATTACTGGATACGGCGGTACAGTGATGCGGAGGATTTAAAAAAAGGCAGTGGTAGCAATCATTCCAGGCAGCAGAGTCCAGTGAATCCAGATCCCATTCCTTTAGGTACTGTATCTACTTTAAAATTGGAAATGTACCAAACATTTGTGGATCTTTCTTACAATGCTGTACTCCTTAGCACGTGCTCCTCTGTTTTCTTCTTCCTGCTGCAGATTTCTCGATTAAAACATGGGTGTACTATCTTATATAAAATCACTAATGAACAGGGGGAAAGTGGATTGTAATAAAACTACAGCTTCATATATTTACTTGAATTAGGCATTGTAGGTCAGAGTCCTATGCAAGTTTAGTTAGAAAAAATGTCCTACAGCTCCCAGCATTTCCCAGTCAGCTGGGGAAGTACTGGGAAACTGGCCTGGAAACACTTTCTGATCTTCTACCAATCACTCAGAGACCTGTGAACAAACCCACTTTACCTTCCACCCACCCTAATGCTCACTACTTTGAAACTCATTGAAAGAAAGGTGGTTTAGAGCTCTTGTAAGGAGATAATACATAGGTTTGTGCCATGGTCTGATCTGTTTACTAGTATAAAGAAGAAACAATGCCAAGAAGCATTGTGGACTGGTAGCCAAAATAGCCTCTTTGGAAGCAACTCAGTTTCACTTAGATGCCTCTCTTTCAACAGCAAAATATTACCAGACATGCACTATTCATTTTTGGTTTCTGTTTAAATTCCAGTATCATATACAAGACATGGTTATCCTGAGATAGTAAGTGCCAGAGCTTGTTTAATTTTGTCCCAAGAATAGTGTTAATATTTGTTCTAGGTTTTCTTATCAATGGTAGAGTTTAAACAAAGAGAAATAACTCTTAAGTCAAGATACATATGGGAACAGGCAATTTCTGAGTAACCACAAGGGTAAACGGTACAATGTTTCAGTAGGTACAGATCCAGCCTACAGAGGAACTGATGGATCAGGACCATGGTGTGTAAAAACAAAACAAAAAGAAGCCCTCCAAAATTTTAATTAAGGGCATCACCAAGTATCAATATTGCTTTTTTCCTCTGTGTGTTGCAAATGTCACAGAGCTCCCTTTGTCATTTTAATGAGCTAATCCACCCTGTAAAAATTAACAGCTTGTCATCTCCAGTAGCTTTGGTGGAAGAGGGGAGGGCCATCTGTTATGCCTTTGTGTTTTCCCCCTCCCCTTTATGATTTATATTGATATTCATTCTGTAGTTCTGAAAAAGGAAAAATATTGCCCGGACAATTCTGTGCATGTTTTGCACTGGGAGAGAGTCTAACATATGTGGAATGGATGCCACTGGATTTTCCTTACTCAAAATTACTGGTGCCGGGAAGATAACTGATTCTCATGTGTTATTCTGTTCTCTGGATTATGTTCTTTCTAATAAATAAAACCTTCTCTGAGATCTGGAACTGCAGCAGATGCATTCAGAAAATAACATGTTCATTTCCAGTCACATTCAGTTGAAGGTAATTCAGGAATGAAGGTTGAGGCATTCCTTTCTGAGTCCTGGAGAACCACCATTTTTCATGTGCATTGCAGCTAGACAATACTGGGTTTGAATATACATTTGAAACCTTTCCCAACCCCCCAAAGCAATTTGCAACTTCAGTTATTAAATAATTGTAAATATTGTTCACATAACCGTTCTAAAATTAACTGGCAAATTTGATACAGATTTGACATTTCTGTACTTATATTTTCATATATTTGTGGCTAAGCTATGTTAGAAAGTAACACTTGGTTTAATCTATTGTTGTGGAAAATAAAATAAGCACTTAAATATTTGCATTGAAGGTAGAAGAGAGAAATTACTTCAGTCCTAAATAATCTACATATATAAAAATAACACTCAGAGATGCTTCACATTTACAACCCAGTTGATGGAAACTGATGGGCAATGTTGTGAATAATCATGTAAATAATCTATCAATTTATTCAGGTGCTTTTGGAGGAGTGTTTAACAGTGTGTATTACTCTTAGTATTTGATTTGATTTTCAGGTGGTTAGTAGACACAATAATTACCAATGACTGTTTCTTAGGACACCAAGAACACAGGAATTTGGCTTGTCTAAAAAATCAAGCCAAAGTCAATCCCACTAGTATTGTCTTCACTTACTGAGTTTGGACAACATGTTGTGGCTTGTTGCAGGTTTTTAACATAGATCAGAATATGCCAGACTAGTTTAACTCCACATAACCCATGCTTGAGGGATTCATATGACATGCCTATTCAAAATGGCACCAGGGCCATGAACTGAAGCGCCATCATGGGTAAATATTCCAGATGGGTCTTTTCCATTTCTGCCTCATCATTCCAGCAAATCTGGTATGAAATCTGGAACATTCTGCCACTGAGCTGTTGCCCTGTCTATTTTTATTTTTCTATGTATTGTATGATTGCCTTGGAAACTCACTAATGGATTATTGATTGATCTGAAGATGTACAAAGGTTGTGTTAATCAGAGAGAGTTATAGTTTTGGGAGTTACAGTAAAGTGCTAACCCCACCCAGATGGGCATGGAGCTATGATTACAACAGATAACACCGTTCACTTTAATTTAGGAAGCAGATTGATTTGCAGAAAGAGTGCTCAAAGGAAGTACTATTTTCCACTGAAAGGAATTTGACACCTTTTCCGGGCAAGAAAGTTCTTTTTTACCCTGAGTCTTCCAGATCTGTAAACAAAGCTAGCCTGGCACACCTAGACCTAATTCCAGTGAAAAGTATACAAGCATGGTCCAAAAACCAAACTCATATTTAACAAGTTGATTCACTGCTATATCAACTCTGCCCAGTCTGAGGTCAATTCTAATAAAGGAAACCAACCAACACACCCATTTTAGTAGATGGTGACCAACTATTGATAATGTCCACTGTCCAAGAGTTGGCAGCAAAATAGAAGAATGTGAGATTGTTGCAGTGTAGCTCTTAAGTTAACATTTTTCATACTTTCATGTGTCTTACTGCAGTTTGCTGTTCCTGCTGTTTGGTTTATGAGGTCAGTTTTAAGAAGGCTACAGGATTTTGATAAGTATATAAACCTACCACCTTCTAGCCGTCTTTCCTATTTTCTTTACTAAGAGTTTTGCCACTACTTCCATCGCAGCCCAATTTAATCATTCATATATGATGATTAAGCAAGGGTGGACCAAGGTTGGTTTCCTCAGTCTTGTGTTTCTTCCAAGCAATACAACTTCAAGGAGATGGGTGAGAATACTGTGATTGGACTATGGGTACATGTGTGCTTTTTATCTGTTTCACCTGTCAAAAATGCCTTTTCTCTTTCCTTCCTTGTCTCTTATTTCTGCTCAGTCAGATTCCCCAATGATCTGTAGAATTCCAGAAATGTTTCTACTATTTGCTGAACTTCACAATCAGGTTGACTGGCCCTCACAGATTTATGAACTGTTCCAGATCTTAAGGCTGATCAATTTTCTGCAATGTCCACATTAAAACCGTTTGATATCACTTTGACAATAGGCCAAGTATTTGAAGAGATACATATTTTCCTTTTAATAAAATAAGTTTTCTAGTTGCAATATGATTAGAAATGCTCTATTCTTTACCTACAGTGACAAACATTCATGCTTTATAGTCATTGTGTCTCCATTTGTAATGACCTTGTGAACTGGCATATTTCCTTAATTTCTCCAGGATGTGCACTCTAGACATGCAATAGGGAATGCAAAACTTCACTACAATTCTGTGCACCTTTTATTGTATTGTCCTCCTTCTCCTCCTCTTCCTCTTCTTTACTCCAGCTCTCCACATAGTTCTGCATTGATTTCTTCAAATAATAAGTTTAGTGATTCAGTTAGAAATAACTCACTGAGACACTTCCATTCTCTCAAGCTGGCTGCTGCCAAAGTAGTATATCTTGTGGTACTGCAAAACTTCCTCTGTGCCTTTCTTTAGTATCTTACATGGTGAAAGAGAGTTGGTCATATTTGACTTTCAAATGCAGCCTCTTTCACACCCAAGCAATGTTCATGCTGTGATCCAGCAAAAGTTAATCCTGACAAAGGCTAATTGAAAACCGCCATAACTTGTCTAAATCATCCCTAAGTACAGTTCTTTGGTGCTGGATCCAACACTTTCATTCATAAGGACCTTCAGATCATGAAGTGAGCTGTTGACTGTTTTAGCCCACCTCTAAATTGTTCTCAACTGGCTTTAATCAACCAAGACTTCAAACCCATAACTCTTTGTCTTCGAAGAATGATTAGTATTGCACATTGTCTAACTTTGACTCAGTTCCTGCTCTAGAATTGTGGAGACATTTGTCTCAAAAAGTACAAAACCACCCAGACTAGTTTCACCATATCCATTTTCATAATTATTTCAGAAAAACACTTAGGAATATGTTTCTTATTATTTTCATCATTCTTTATACCATACTTCCCTTTCCAGTTAAAAAAAAATAAAAAGTCTATGGAAGTCTTTCATAAGATCTTGATTTAATTCTTCTAGCAGAGTCTTGGCTTCATTATCTATGTGAACTGTGGTTGGAATATGAGCTTGATTGATCTTTGTACTTGGAAATTGCACCAATTAGCTGGTAATCCAGTCAGTGATGTCATTGAATTCCATTTACTTTTTGCTCTTGTGTAACTAAACAAGCCAATGAAGCATCTTTCATTCCATTTTTTTAATCAACATTCCCATCATATCAAAATAATTTGGTGAAAATTATGATTTTATTGATTTTACTTCTGCCCAGTGGAATTTGACAGAAAGTATTATTAATTATTATTCTTGTTATTAGTATTAATTACCTTTCTGTACCACCTTTGGCTGAAGTTCTCTGGGCAGTTTCCTACAAAGTAGAAACACAATAAAATGCATCAGATAAAAACATTAACAAGAGTTAAAATGAATGTAACCCTAAACCTAACCATAACAACATTTTAAAAATAATAAAAATAACTATATACTAAGTATAATAGCCAGCAAAGCAAATGTATGGCTACAGAATCCCAATAACCCTAAGACTGCTGCCATTCCAGAATGGTATTACCCAAAGTCGAAATCTCATTCAATATTGCCATAACAATTTTAAAATGTAATTATGGATTTTGTATTTCATCATAATAATAAGTAGTTAAAGTGTCAGTGTTTTGCTCTGAACTATGGTGCCATTTCATTCAGCTGTCTCGGGTCAGCATCACTTCCTCGCATCCATCAGACATGCCCAGGCCCAACCCTGAGACCTGCTCTGGGTTTCTTCTTTAAAAACATTTGTCCAGCTCAGCACCCCAAGCAGTGTCAAGCAGCTGGACATTACGAGCATTGAATCCTGCCACAATTCCACAATTCTCCCAGTGGAGCGTTTTTCAAAGCAGGTGTATTACTTGCGTGGCTGCTAGACCTAGCTACCAAGTATCCCAGCAGAGTTGCCTACTGCTGTGTGCCACTAACAAAGGACACCTGGAAGCAACACCCTGCCATGGTCAAATATTTACAGACGACCTCAGTGAAAGCTGTTGTTTCATCTTCCTTCCCTAACTGAACAGCCTACCTACTGAACTGAACAGCCTTCCCATAACCTACTGAAATAAATGACTGCTTTGCCATTGATTTCAGTCTAGAGTCTAGATCTAGCTTTCAGTGTTTAATAAAATTGCACAGAGGGCTCTTCTCTGCCTGCCACATGTGAAGTTTACTGTGGACTTTATTGTAAAACTGCCAGAAACAACAGACATGATTTATTCCCTACTCTACATCATCTGCAATGTGCATTCAGCTATGAATCACCTTTTCTTGTGTACTTAACAAAAAATATTGAAGTCCTCTGTTTCTTTTTTAGCTACTGTTGTCATCAGCTGATGGGGCATTCCGCAGTAAAGAATGCTAACTAAACATAATTAATATTTAACATTATTAAAATGAAAGTAAGCAAATGGAAGTGACATCCACAGTATGCAGTTTTGCTGCCCACCGAGCCCATTCCCTCCCATTATTTTGATCAATTTAGGCTTATATGCCCTGGTCCTTTGATTTGCAGTGGCAGCAAGTAAGGCGTGTGGGAGATGCTAGCTAGTGCACTGATCTGACTAGAATATTTAAGAATGCAAATATTTATGAACAGGGCTGCTGGAGACTTAATGTTCTGCTATCAAACACTTTTCATTTATTCATATGCCTGAACAATTGCTGCTACCATTGAATTGCTACTACCAGACAAAATTGAAACAAAGGAACAGACCTTTCAGGTCTTTGATTTTGTTGAGAAATTAGTGAACTGTGAAGATGAAATTTTTACATTTGATGGCAGGACTTTGACCAAGTCTACATCATCGCGTGATAAAACTTCCTGGAGCCTTCCAATTCATGCTGCAAGTGTGCAAGTTCCATGTCTGAGTGCATCACCGCCCCAATAAATATACCCTCTCTTGGGTTCTGTGTGCTGGGAGTCTTGTTCTATAGGGACAACAGTCCAAACAGATATACTCCAAAACCTGATCTCCTGCATAACAAGTTGTCTTAAACCATCACTTCAGCAAAATCTAAAGAAGGAGAAAAATTATAGCATTTCCTATCTTATTTTCATGTCATGCTGTAGAAGAATGTTGCTCAGCCAGCAGTATGACAGCCACTTGTCTCTTTCAACAGTTGATATGCTGTTGTATCCAGTGATGGCTTTGTGTTCATAGAGCGTGTAGAAGTGTAGACAATGAGAAAGCCTGCCATGGATCAATAACTGGTTAAAGACAGATAGCCGACACTAGAAATTGCAAATACTCTCAATGGAGGAATGAAAATGGGGATTCCATGGGGCTCTATTGAAACCAGTGCTTTTTTTAACTTGTTTTTAAATGATCTTGAAGTAGGAGTGAGCAGTAAGGAGGCCAAGTCAGCTGATGATGCCAAAATATATAGTGTGGTCAAAATGGAGAAATGGGCATCAAAAAACCAAATCTATTTCAGAATAAGCAGTTGATTCACAATGAGGCAAAAGGGGAAAAATTGCCAACTTCACATATGCCTCCCTTGTATAATTCTCTTGTATGACCACATTTAAAATACTGTATACAGTTCTGGTTAATAAGAGAAGACATGACAGAGGTGTACAAAATATGTATGCTGAGAAGAAAATGTATAGGGAGACACTTTTTTCCTGCTTCCATGATAATACTGTAACTCCAGCAGCCTGGAAATTCAGGGCATATTGAGCATGTTTTCTGCACACAGCACATAAACTATTGTAGAACTGTTGTAGAATTTGTTACAACAAAATATAATGGTGTCATCAAGCTGATGGCTTGCTAGGATTTAGAGAGGATAAGACTACCAGTGGCTACATGTCCTGTCAGAATCCGTGTGCCTATGCCCATGAGCTGCCAAGGACAATGATCAGGAAGTTGCTATTGCAGTCATGTCTACCTGTGGCTTTCCCATAGTCAGCTGGTTGGCTATAATACGAAGAAATGTCTGGGCTGGATGAACACTTGGTCCAGTCCAGGATGGCTCTTATGGTCTTTAAGCAATTCTGGTTGCACAAGGTTGGACACCATAGATTTGCGAAACCAGTTTAGCTACTGTGTCCCTCCCCACCATATCCAGAACTGTTCCAGAGTGTCCCCCAACCTTGAAGAGCAGGCATTCTGAAGAATCTGGGCAGTTATCAACACGGGCTGCACTATATGGGACTTTCAGCAAATATCAGACACTCCACCATACCTAGGTGGAAATACTTTCCACTAGTACAGAATAATTCAAGGCAATTCATGAATTTTGATTCATGACTTCATGCCACTATCCGGTATGTGAGGCTGCCAGTACATCAAGGACTATTCCACTGTTAATACACCAAGAATCATGACCCTCACGTGTGGTTTATGCTCACAAATTCTTGTTCTGTACACTCATAATAGAATCCAGTTTCTGACTCTGAAAGGAAAGATTGAGAAAAATAGTTTATGCTTTTATTGACTGATAATGCATCTAAAGCCAAAATCAGGCTTTTCCACTAAAAAGATTTTAAATGTACCATACTGCCTTTTTTATTATTTTCCCAAAAGTCCGATTACAAACAAAAGCAAAGAGGGCTATGAAGAAGCTCTCACTTGTTGGCATTAAGAAATGAATATATTACTAAGGAACAAAATTATGCCTGATCATTTTACAGCGATCTAACTGCTCTGTTCTAGAAGGGATTTGGAAGTAATAGCTCTATTGTTTTCATTTTATATCACGATTATATTCACACTTCATTGACTGAAGCATCAAAGAGAAGACATTTTTTAAAAGTTCTGTATAACCATTACTTTTGATATTCTTTTTGTTTCCCTCGTCCCTCCCCCTGCTTTTTTATAGACTCACATCGGGAATTCCTTCACAGGCCTGCTTCTGGATATGTGCCAGAAGAGATCTGGAAGAAAGCTGGTAAGTATTGTTTAAAAACATGAGCATAGCAGTTTGGCAGCTGTGTGCATTTGTTAATGCTCTGATATAAATATTTTTGTTTGGGGGGGGGGCATGCTACTAATAAAGTTTCAATTAATAATCTTAAACTGGAACATATCACAAACATGTTTTAATTATAGCATTATCTACAGTTGTAGATAAGAGGATGTCAATGTATCTCTTTTAAAAGAGAAAGAAACCCAGATCGCAAACAGATCATATTCAGATATTACAATTCATTCTGAGCATTTATATGAATGGTTATTGCAAAGGTTTACAGTTATAAAGCAAAATGAAAGTTTTATTTCAGCAAGCAGCAAACTGCAGACAGTGCCATTTTATTTTATCTGCGAACTTGAACTATTTGTGTCGGCATGTCCATGCTTCAGGTAGAAGACAGATCTGTGACCTAATTGCAATCTAATCAGTTAGTTCAACCCAGAGGAAACTTGTTACTGCTGCTATTAACATCATAAAGAAGAACGTAAGAAGACCAATGCTGATTCAGGGCAGAAACCTATCTAGTCTTGCATTCTGTTCACAGTGGATGCTTGTGGGAAGCCCATGCATAGTGCATGATTGAAATAACTCCTTCCCCTACTAATCCTGACCAATGCAGGGCTGCTGCCTCTGGTGGCTGAGATAATACATAGGCATCACGTCTAGTAAGTTTCTTGAATATTGCATGAATTTGTCTAATTACCCTTTAGACCTAACCAAATTTATTGCAACATCTTGTAGCAGTAAATTCCGCCATTTAACTTTGCACTGTTGTGAAGCATCACTTCTTTTATCTGTTCTAAATCTCCTAGCATTCAGCTTCATTGGATGCTGGAATTGTGAGAGATCCATTTTCTCCACACTGTACATAATTTTGAACATCCCTGGTATGCCTCTCATACTTTCCTTTTTTCTAAGCTAAGCATTCCCAGATCTTTTAAGCTTTCCTCACTGGGGTGAGTCCATTTTGGTTCCCCATTTCTGAACATTTTCCAACCTCAACATATACTTTTTGAATTGCAGTGACCAGAATTATACACAGTATTCCAAGTGTGGTTACACCATAGATTTGTAGGGTAAAGATGTATTAACATTTTCATTGTCAATTACTTTTCTAATTATCCCCAACGCAGAATATGTTGTCCCCTTCATTTTTGGTAAAGGTTACAATCTGTTGTTGGTACTGTTGTTGCTGTTGTTGTTGTTGATGATGATGATACTATACAAGAGTTACCTGTGTGTGGTTACGATTCAGAGACTGACAGAAAAGACTACTAGTCTGCAATTTTTTTTCCAGTTCATATAAAATGTAATAAATTAGCAATGCATTAAAATATGTTTATTGATAACTCTGGCTGATAAGATTTTTTAAAGTTCTGTATTTAAGTTTCTGGCTCTCTTTTTATATAAAGAATGTAATAAAATTTGCATCTGTGGGTTTGTCTCCATATATTTCTTTTCAAGGGATCAGAAAATGTTTGCAGTTGGTAATAAATATTCAAACATCTTGCAAATGTCCTACCAATTCTCTTTGCTGATCTGTGTGTGCCCGTGGGACTAGAATAGGAATGCATAATTTAAATATAAATTGCCTTATTTGCATATACAATTAGTCAAGCTGCAGCTTTGATCGTAAGCAAAAATTATTGTCCTGTTGCCACTTAGGTAGAATTGTAATTCACCTTGAATATTCAAAGTAAATGAGTCCCTGTCTTGCATAGCTGCATGGTCTCATTTCCCTTTCCCGCAAACATTTATAGGAGGGTAATGTGAGGGCATATTTTTAACCCTCATAAAAAAATAAGGCATGCTTTTTCTATTTTTTTCTGTAAAATACAATGTTTTCTTTTCCAGATTTTCAAACTAAACAAATCCTCTGGACAAATATTAAATATTATTTAATTAATGTATTAGATATTATTTTAAAATGTATTATATGATCAGCATGTACCTTGATATGTTTTCAAATACATTTCAATGTATTAATTCAAATATAGAAAGTATGTCAGGGAATTTGAGCATAGAATTAACCATTTTTAAATTTGACACATTTTTGTGATTTCAATTTGTGTTGATCCAATAATAAATATGCCATCAAACATTAAAGAACTGTGCAACATTCCATACACTGAGCATTTTCTAAACAGCTACACATACATGGAAACATACACACAGAAAAAACTGCTTTTGAGACTGATGAGGAAGTTTTGATGTAGCATGGGGAATGGAGTCAGAGGGCTGATATGGTATTTCCTGAAAACCTGTCCAAAAACCTACTGACTGCACTTCAGCACATCCAATATAGGTCCTGAAATCTCAGCCTATAGTTAATTTACTGCACAATCCTGCTCATGTTTACTCAGGAGTAAATCTCATTGAGCTCAGAGGGGCTTAATCTTTAGTAAGTGTGCTACTAAATTCAGGTGTCTCAAAGGGATGTGATGACTTAAGGTGAAGAGGACTAGATTTATCACTCTGTGTAATACTGTGCATCCCACTGAAACCACAGCACATTTGTAACTCTAATATTTTTATACTACAGTAAAACATTTTATTAGGAATCTTATGCTTTTAATTAAACAGAACATTTAATTAAGGTGCTCCTTAAGTGGGTGAAACAATTAAGTGCAAACACTTGAATGAAACATGTCATAATTAGTTTTAATAGAGTGTTAATTGGTACTAGGTTTGCCAAGTTAATAATTACTGCTTATTAAATTTTCAATTAATCATTGTCATTTTCCTTTGAATAAAGATGAAAATTAGATACACTAAATCAGGGGGAGGATAGTTTCCTTGTTAATTGGAGTTGTTGGATTAAAAAAAAAAATCACTTGTTTTAGTTGTCAGTTGAAGACATAAGATCTTCCACTCCTTTTGCATCAAAAAATGTAACCACCTCATTGATGACAAGCCATGTTATCCAGTGTGAAAAAGGAAGCTGCATTATGTTAATTTCTGTTAGCTTAAATCTAAGACATTGGAACCATCCTCACACTATTCTAAGACCATGGTTCAGACATGAATTTCAGCACATGTATTTCTAGAACACTGTGTTTATCTTCAGTGTAGCATAAGTTTATAACTATTAGTAAATGAGCAGAATAGAGAACAATCCTTTAAAATATTTTCTTGAAAGAAATAATATGTTACATGAGTTTAAAAATGACTCCTCAGCAGAAAGAAACCACACAAAAAGTGCTCGAGGCAATCAAATGTCAAAGACTCAGGCTACATGTTATAGTTGCCACAATCATCCCTAAGGGTCATTTATTTATTTATATTTATTTTAAATATTCATAAGCTTTCCATCATGTTTGCTGCTCTCAGGGCAGTGAACGGCTTGGGACCTGGGTATCTAAAGGAACGCTTGTGTCCATATATGCCCTCCCACCCCTTGAGATCAGCAACAGATGCCCTTCTCTGGGAACCCTCTGTGAATGAGATTAGGAGGGTGAGTACCCGGAGGAGGGTTTTCTCTGTGGTGGCACCCCATCTATGGAATGCGCTCCCCAGAGAGGTCCACCTGGCGCCGTCATTATTTGTTTTTTGGCACCAGGCTAAGACCTTTTTATTTAAAACTCATTTTAATTGTTAATTTATTTGTATTTATGAGATTTTAAATCTTTTAAGCGGAGATGCACTGGGTTTTAATTTTTACTTGTATAATTGTTATATTTATGTATTTTGCTTTTGTTGTGAGCCACCCCGAGGCTTAGTTGCAATGAGGACGGCATAAAAATGTTTTAAATAAATAAATAGTAAATATATTAGCAATACAGTCAAGTCATCCCATTAAAAAGTGATATTAAAAAACAGCAAAAGGTAGAAACACAACATCCTAGCACTGGAGTAAAAGCTTGTACAAAACAAACAAACAAGAAAACTAACAAACGTCAGTCAAAAATGTAAGAGTCTGAGATACTTATAAAGCATTTTCCTCTTCTCCCAAACATAAATAGAGGAAAGGACGGACCAAGTGAAATTCCTTCAAAAGCAGGCAGGCACAGGCAAGGAGGTTCTCTCCAACCATCTCAGCTTTGAGTGGCCTCCAGTAGGGATCTTTTCATGGGATGAAGCCATGTGGAAAAAGGTGTTCCTCCATCAGGTATCCCAGGCCCATGCAGTGCTTTAAGGGAAACACCATGACATGCATGGATACCCTGTGAGATCCATGAAGTCCTCCTACTTTGCTGGGCAGATTGCATTCTTCTAGTCTTCCATGTTGAAGGTTGGCTGTGGAAAAGGAACTGGAGAGAGTTCTTACACCAGTAGTGTGTGCAACCCCCACTGCAGGGGCTGCAATTTATTATTATTTCATTTTAAATCACCCAATAACTAAAGCTCTCTGAGTGGTTTACAGCAGTTCTTAAAACAATAAAATAAAATACCAATATGATACAATAAAATGTTGCAAACATCCTGAAACAAAAACAAGCTAAAGCAGCTAAAACAACATACAGTGAGGAGCAGCCCTGTAAAAATGACTGGGATGGGCAATCCCATCAAACTCTTAAATATTCAAGTGTACCTTTAAAGGCCTTGGCATAAAGAACCATCTTAACCTGGCAATGAAAAGATAGAAGTGTTGGTGCCAGGTAGACCTCAGTGGGGATGAGGAGCCACCACAAAGAAAGTCTTACCTCTTGTTCCTGCTGTCTGAGCCTTCCTCAGAGTTGCCACATGGAGGAAAGCCCCAGAGTGTGGTGGCCATGTAGATTTAGGTTGGAAGAGACACCCCATCAAACACTGAGGTCAACATTTATAGATTAAAACCAGCAACTTGAATTGGAAGTATACAGGAAGCCAACACAAGCAAGCAGCAGCGTTCAGTGGAACTGCAGTGCCAAATCCAATATTCAGAATCTATTCAATTACCCAACAACAGATTAGTTGGTGCTCATACCTCAAACTGCACATAATGATTGCTCAGTTGAAGGATGCCCACATCAAACTCTTTCCCTATCTATACAGTGGCCTCAGTGAGAACACCTTTCTTACAACGGTCAAATTCCTCAACAACATTTCTTTCCTATAGTCTCAATTAGGGTTTGGATGAACCCTTTCAAAATCTGTTTCTCTGGCATCCACAGACTTCTTTTCATGCTCACTCAGCCCTCCAAAGCAAGGCAGGCCAAATGAAGCCCATGCACGCTCGAGGACCCTCAGTTGCACAACTCGCAACCTTCCTCATCAGGATGCAAAATAAGGGCATTGTGAGCAGGTTCAGCAGGTGCCATTCCTGGCAACCAACCTTCTTCCCCACCTGCTGTTGGTGGCAAGCTTCTTCCCTACCAGGTAGTGCCACCAATGCTGGACATAGAGGAGAAGCTTTGTTTGCACAGTGCATGGGACTCAGGTCCTGGCAAGCCTCCTGTGGATGCTGGGAGTGCTTGCCACGACCTCAGATTCAGGGCCACTGCAAAGTGGACTGGTGTCCACGGAGCCAAGCTCAGGGAATCAAGCAGATTTCCACCCCCAAACAGATTCCTCACACGTTTGAAGTCCCAATGCACTACTGCAAGCCAAAGTACATTAACTGGAATATTCATCTGTTCTTCTACTGTTTACCATGCTTCTATTTCCCCCCTCCCTTGTTTCAATTTCATAAATGCCTTCTGGAGAATAGGAACATGTCAAACTGTTATGAAGTATCATCTGCATCACCATTGATGTAGTAATAACAACAGAACAACAAAATGTTTAAAGCATATTCATTCTTGGCATGTCAAATGTTCTAAAGGCAAAAGATTTTGATGTGAAGCTAGCATGTCTAAATAAGTAATTCCCACCTACATACATTCTGCGGTGATGAGAAGACTGTACCACATGAATACCAGCCTACTGGAGCTGGCTCTAAATAGCTATATCGGGGAGCTGGAAATTTCTAAGTATGTTTTCATGCCATACTGACTACCATATCTTAGGTAACCGCTTCAGCCTTCTACCCAAAAGAAAACATGTATCTCATTTAGTAACTTCAAAATCTAACTACTTTATATATGGTGCTGCTATCCTCTGATCTATATGTTTAACGTTCTTGTTGAACTGATGCTTATTATCTTGTTTGCAGAGGAAGCAGTCAATGAAGTAAAACGTCAAGCAATGACTGAGTTGCAAAAGGCAGTGTCAGAGGCAGAGCGGAAAGCCCATGATATGATTACTACAGAGAGAGCTAAAATGGAGCGCACAGTGGCAGAGGCCAAACGACAGGCTGCAGAGGATGCACTAGCTGTGATCAATCAGCAGGAGGATTCTAGTGAGGTAAGGCATTCCCCAATGAAGTCAACTCCAAACTCAGAACCTGGTGGACACCATCATCCATTTTTCAGTTTCCACCACAAAGTCATGGACTTTCTTCCCATCATGTTTACTTTCATCTGTGTGTTTTGCACGAGGCAAACATTTTACTTTAAAGAAAAGCAACAATACTGTCTTAGGAGAGGAAAACAATAAGAAGAAGCTGATAGAAATTGAATCATGTGAATGGTCCATCCAGCCTGTCATAGCTTGTTTGGCTGGGAGCAAAGTTGCAGTGTTCATTGTGTCTGAAAACTTTTTGTAGCTGGAGGTGTTCCGTAATCCACCAATGAGAAGAGATGACAAAAAAGTACCCATCTGGATTTTGAAAGAAGCAGGGTTTTGAAAGGACAAGAATTCCCAGTAAAATCTATGATGTTTTTGAATAATTCTGTGAAGGCTGCTCAACAATTCAAAGCACCCTTCTCCATTGTTTGCTCTCTTGTCTACCAACATTGTGCCAGTATCTTTGGCACACTTTCCCAAATTCCCAAGCTGTGGTGATAGATTGAAAAAAATGTACTGTTTAGTGTTTGCAAATACCTCTTAGTTTTGTTGAACCTTCTATTGTCTTCAAGAATTTTGGGAATTGTGAGGGAGTGGGGAATCCTCTCATAGGATATTTTTTAAGAAAACAACTACTGCTATTTCTGGGGTTCTGAACATGGTGACTTTGAGCACCTTCCTTGGTCCCTGGCCTCCATTTTAATTTTATGTCTTAATGTTTTTTATTAAACATATTATTTTTAACTGAGGGAGGACTCATGCTAGAAAACAAAGAGTGGTTTGTGTTTTGAATCTCAGACTCCATTTCTACCCTTTAATTTTCTTTTAGACTTACCATTTGCCTTCTGAGAGATTAAGGCTTTGTGACTTACCGTGCATATCATAGCAGACATTTTACTATTTGTAATATATCAATGTATTACAAAATTATTTATACCCCACCTATTCTCAGTGATTAATAGTTCTTAGCTTTAGCCTTGGCTGTTGTTTCCTCTTCTTCAACTCCTCTCTCTCCATTCCCTGTTGATGCTGAAAAAGGTATGAAGTATGAAAAAAGGCAAGAGGAGGGAAGGTAGAAGATGAGACAGTTGGTACTGACCATCATGAGCCAAAGTGAAATTGGGAAAGGTCTATAATGGCTTTGGGATCTCAAGATGTAGAGTTCTCACTTGCCCCATTGAAAGGGTGTGTTTGAATGCTATTCATTTCTGAATCCTTTGGTTTTTAGAATGAGGAATGAGGCATATTATATTATTAAACTTGCACACATGTTGGCTAGCATTACTATGCCAAACATATTTACTGGGAAATATTCACTGGGGAATAAGTCCCAGTGAATGTACTGGAAGTTATTACTATCTTCCAAGTAAGCTAAATATGCATTCTTAACAGGAATAGGTTCTTCTGAATAATAACATGACTATCTTCCCAGTTTTTTTCAGGATTTCAATGCAACTGCATTGCAAGTGGTTTAACTCTCCCTTTTTGAGACAGCTGGAATTTTTTTTCCTTCAGATAATATTGTTTAGCACACCTACATTCTCCTGTGTCATAGTCTCAATTGTATATGGTGTTTTGTGAGGAAGAGCGTTGTTGGTGAATGTTGTAGACTCTGAGAATGAACTAGGGTTTGATGATCTTTTGTCCCTTCTAAATCATTTTTGTTGTTATGTGTCAAGTCATCTCTGACATGGATGAAAGACTTTTAAAATGCCCTATCCTATGACAGCCCTGCTCAGTTCCTCCAAGTATTTAGTCACTGTTTCCTTCTGCCTTCAACTCTCCCTAGCATGATTGTCTTTTCCAGGGAGTTTCTTCTTCCCATGATATGCCCAAAGTACAACAGCCTAGTTATTCATTTTTGCTTCTCAGGAAAGCCCTGGCTCTTGATATGCTCTAGGACCCACTTTATCTTTCTGTCAATCCAGAGTATCCACCAAGTTCTCTTCCAACACTGTCCTTCAAAGGCATCGACTTTCTTCCTGTCAGTATTCTTCACTGTCCAGATACAGTAATCAAGAATACAATAGTGTGGATAAGCTTGGCCTTTGCCTCCATTTGAAATGTCTCACCAAAACTTTGATGTCCCCATTTTCTGGAAGAAAAACAAGAGCCAATATTTTAATTGAATGGGGCTGCAGTGTCACTAATTCAGTTAACATACACAGTCTAGGATTCTTTAAGTGCTCATGAAAATGCCAAGCTGCCTTTAGCTGAGTCTGATCTTTGGTCCATGTTGCCCACTGTGGTCCACTCCAACGCCAATGGCTGTCCAGAGTCTCAGGAAAAGCATGCATTCCCTGGCTCTGTTGATGCACATTTACTGGAGATACTATGGAGTAAACTTTGAAGCTACTGCATGCAAAGCATGTGCTCGCCCATTCAGACACAGGCTTAGGTATTAATAAACCAGTTTGAGGTTGCAATCCTATGCATACTTACCGGGGACCAAGCCCTGCTGAGGGCAATAGGTACTTGTTTCTGAACAAATATGCTTGGATTGCACTGTGTATTTATTATTCATATACATTTACTTATTAATTTGTTGCAGATGTTTTCTATTATGCTTTTCATTAAAATGGCTTTGACAGAAACAAGTCACATTGTTTACTAAAAGTGCATTGCTGTGCCAGCAAGTGTCTTTGCACAGTATGATCAGCAAAGTGCTAGGTTTTCTGAAATGGAGAACTGCTAGATTACATTATTTCTGCTACAGGGATTATGGGTAAAGGAAAAGATGGGGAGACAGCATCTGGCAAAATAAAAACAGAATGAAAGAGTACCAAAGATGGTAAACCTCAATTCAGATTACAGCATATCAGCAAAGCTTTGAATTTTTGTGGTGTAGGACATATGGCACCATATGGAACAGGAAGTCAGGAGTGAGAGAGAGCAATACATTTTGTTGCCAGTCCTGAAGTATTTTGGATAAAATGAATTCTTGTGTCTTTCAGAGAAAAAAAGAAATGTTAAAATCCATGCGGAAAGGGAAGTCTTGATTAAACCTGCCCCAATAAACAGATGCTAAGTATAATTCTTTTCAGTTTAACATTAACGGGAGATTTTGTTCATGGTATATCTTTTTCTGATAGCCTCTTTCCCCCCAGATATTTACACATATCCATCTTTTTTTTTTTGGGGGGGGGGGGGGGACATAGCTTTTAATTAATTGTGTAAATACTAACCTAAGAGCTACAGGAAGCTTTCTGTGGTGTTGACACTTTTTATGTATTTTGCCTATTTCTGAAGGATGAACACAGTCTTTAATTGTTTGAAATGCTTTGTATAATGCACTCAGTGTGCTGGTAACATCAAGAGTGACTCAGGTTAAAAGATTTGAATTAGCTACTTGCCCCATCATGAAAGAACTGGCAAAAATCACAGGCAGATAAATCAGCAACATGTTACAATGCATATCTATTATTTAAGGGAGAGTAAGATTTTAATTGGTCACAGGCACCACCAGAGATGAAAGACTGTTGTGGAATTGCTGGATTCCCTGAGTTTTGACTTAATGTGTAGCAGATGAATAAGCAGGAGACAAGAGGAACTGATTTTCAACATCTGAAAGCTTTCTCAGGAAGAGAGTCTGGGCGAAGTGTATGTTTTGTATTGTTTTTAGTACTTAACTGTTCCACTGCAGAATTAAATATGACATACATTAAAATGTAACAGCATTTTGTAGCTCAGCTATGCCAAGGCGATGTCTTTGAGGAGCTGCCTGCTATGATCATTAAAATACTGTCCTCCCTGTATGGATATATATCAAGGATCATGGTTTTTTTTCTTTTTGGTTATGAATGTTTAAATTAGAAAATTAACTACCTATGAGAAACGAGGGAGTTCAGTACAAGTAGGGACACTTGAAAAAGTCTTTGTGAATTCCAGTATGAGCTAGCCTGATCCATGTGTCATGCATTAATATGCCGATTGAAATTTAGTTATCCGGTGGTTTTTGCAATTCCCAAACATTTTGATGTAGTTTTCAGCTCAAAGAGTAAAAACATGCATTATATAATGCATATTTGGTGAACAAATGTGTTGAAAGTATTATAATGCAGGCTTTTGTGTGGATTGAAAAAGGGCTAAAGAATACAAAAACTGGAGGGGACAGATTTGCAAATCCATACATGGGGTTTTAACATGGACCAGAAGTTGATTGTTTTTCCATTGCTTGATACAAATAGCTTTGAGATATATTTGAATCCATCACATATTATCTTAATAATATACAGAAACAACCCTTCCTTGCATTTGTGCAGCTAGAGACATGCACAGCCCTTTTCAATAATGTTGTTCCCAAGCATGCACACATCTGGAAACATGAGCGATGCCCTTCACATGGTACCACAGCTGTGTGGGGCCACTTGTCTGTCCTGTGATCTCATTTAGCTGGTGTAGATTGTGACAGGGTGGAGAAAATTGGATGAGGGTATCCCAGAAGATGCCAGTTGTATGGGAAGGGCTCATGTGAACTGTACTGCACACATGATTTCATAGTTCAAGCTCAGCTTCGAACCTCATGGGGTCACGTCATGGAAAAGCAGCTCCCAAGCAGCTGTGATAGAGGTGGATTGCACTGAGTGATACATCTGTGTCTGAGCTGACAGCTTCATGTCGGGGCATATGATGGAATGTGCCTCCAGGCACCCAGTTCCCTGCACATAGAAAACTATGTGGATAGTACATTATGTGGATGCAAGGAGGAAAATACTATCCTAACCTTCTTGAGATCTAGTTTTCTTCATGTAGGAAACATTTTCTGAATGGAAGAATATTTAGTCATGTGAGTCCTACCTGCAGCCAGACACCAGTTTAGTAAGAACAAAGATCTTCATCACAGCTTGTTGAGAAAGCAGATCCAGGTGGCCTTCACAGAGACCTCTTTAGCAATTCATAGTAACCATTTTAGTACTTAGTTTTATCCAAGTCCATTAATATCTTGGATGGAAGAACGGGATTTATTCTCAGGTTTCAGATTATACAATGCTACAGAGATAAGATGAAAACTCAAAGTGACTTGAATAAATTGGAATACTAAAGTATGAAGATGAAATTACACAGAAAGACACTTTTACACATAGAAGGCAAATTCAGAAGAATAAACTCTTGGGTAGGGTAAGTGGAAATGTTGGCTTGTCTGTTGAACAACTGAGAAAGATTTAGGGCAGAATGACATGTAGCCTTAGAGTTGCATATGAACTTTGCTCTAGTTTGATTCTGCAAGCTATCAGTTCAGACCTCTAGCAAAAAAGAGAGAGGAAAAAGTGGACAAAAAGAAAAGGGTAATCTTACCGGGTACCAGAATGTGTCCTGCACCAATGAAAAAATGGGGTGTCCCTAACTTTGGTTGAGAAAGCGCCACCAGAACACGACGCTGTTAGGTTGTGCTTAACACCCTGTTTTGTTGTGTACAAGGTGTTAAGCACAACAAAAATAGACAAGGCAAAATAATAGACAATGAGGCTCATCAAGAAGTAGAAATCTGGTTTGTTTGCACTGCTCCGTACCACTGAGCCAACGTGTGCCACTAGTATCAATTAATGGATCAGATTGCTGTGTAGATTTATGTTCACTTAACTTTTACACGATTTGTAGCAGACTTTTATGTATTTTGCTTCATATGGCTGCACAGAAATCATGATTGATTCGTGAGCTTGTGGGCTTTTTTTCCTATCCTGGTGTTCATGGCTTCATCAATGACTTCCTGTTTCGATTAAACCAGTTTGTCTTTATGTCTGAACAGGAAAGATGTGATTCAAGTGAATAATCCAAGTAGGATGATTTGCAATCCTAATTTGGTTGGTTTACTGACACTATAGTTTTTCAGGTCCTATGTAACAACAAACTATGGTTTGAGCAAGCCACATGTTTAAGTGTGGTCTTAACTGGTGACTCAATTTTGGTGGAGTCCAGGCATTTGCATTAAATTTCCCTTAACATTCACCTGAATATTATTTTTTCTACTTCACAGAGAATGAAATTGGCTTTTCTACCCATATTGTTTTAAAAGAAGGAAAGATTCCAGCACAAATGAAGGAATTCATGTAGTCCTAATTAGCTATTTAATTTCTTTGTAAGAAAACATGTTTTCGAAACAAAGGAACCGAAGAAGAGCAACCTATCAACAGATAGTTTCTTCTCTGCTTGCTTACAGCTATAGGAAAGGAAGCTAGTAGACAAAAGATAATGTATTCATCAGAAGACTGTTTGGCCAGAGGCCAAACTATGAGTGAATATGTGACCCTTCAGCTATTAGGCAGTATAGAAATATAATAAATAAAAGTACCTCATTTAGTTACTTGCTGTGCTTGGCCTGGCTTTATGACTGTTGAGAAAATGAATTTAAATTGTTAGGGTTAACAGCTTACTGCTAAGGTTATTGGGAAAGCTGGGGAAAAACCAGTTGTCTGCTTTTCTGTATCAATATACAATTTATTTATTTATTTATTTATTTATTTATTTATTTATTTATTTATT